TTTTTGCCCATTGTTCGTTGCTTATAGAGGAGAAATTTTGGTCTTCGGAGATAGACCGAGAGCGAATAATTGGGTCCGTGGACACTGCAACCGTAGCTAGCGTACTCGTATAGAACCGGTGAAGACCTCCGCTTGTTTTTGCCATCATTTCAACTCCTAAATTCACATTTTTTGTTCATTGATCTGCCTGGCGTCAATATGTTTCAATACTGTACAATTTTGCCTGGAGGTATGTATCGTTTTGTGTTAGATGGGCGCTCACTGATCGGGTTGCGGGGTGTGCCATTTCCGTTGGGCCTAACCTAAAGCCCTCACGGGCAGGCGCACAATGAATAGCAGTGTAGGCAAATAGTGGGTTACCGACAAAGATAAGGGAGACTGGGGTGGTCATTCATAGTTTATTAGCCGTCGTCAGCCACCCATATCTACTCCGGGTCTGGATGGCCACGGCTTCGAATCCGAGTTCTTTGCTGAGTGTTAACTAGGTCAGCACTACCGTTGATCGATCACGACCGACAAGACACCATGCTCGTGACTCAATGACTAAACGTTGCGCCTGTAAACGCTCAAGGAGCATCCAGATCTGGCTTTGGGTATGACTGACTGAGATTGTCTAATAAACCAGAAATGGCCGTTCCAGTCAAGCTCATATTTGTCTGTACTCCAGTCCCTACATATACGTCTTTTAGGTCTATTTCTCTTTTACCCGACATACTTTTGGTACTGGCAACTAAAAATGCTCTTTAGGCACTTCCGGAGTTCAGTTTCGCAGAATAATGCGGTTACTTTCATGCAGCTGGACTTCACGTATCCCCAAATATCATAGCCCAGGTAGCGCCCCATTTTAAAACAAAGAGCTGTAATGTTCTTTTTTTGATGCCGACTTTAACCACTTCATTTGGTAAGATGTGCTTACATAGCCGCACCTGATGGACACAATACTGTCGACCTACTTAATTATTTTGAGTTAGTGATTACGTTGGCATGGTGTTGCTGTGCGTTGCAGTGTCTGTTCTGTTGGCGGCCTTGTTTCTTTGTTGCCGCGTCTACCTTTTTCGGCCCAATGCCGGTGGTTCTTCTTGACTTTCGGTCTGTCGTCTCCTTTTAACTTTCGCGTCGGCTGTGTTAGGGTTAGCGTTTAGGGCTGCGGTTAAGGGTTAGGGTTGGGGTTAGAGTAACTATTTGTCAACCACTGAAATTACAACCGCGCATTGTCTATAGTTTTTCTTTTGCATAAAATTACTTGACCTCGTCGCCTGTGTTCCCCGGTCCCATCTGTGAATACCCCTATTACAACTGGTCCCGTATTACAGGTGGTTGGGGTTTGTTTACCTCAGGTGCGGCTACATCTGACCCTTTCTTTATTAATGCCCCCCACCTTTACTGCTGTTTGTACAGTCTAATATAGCAGAGGTTGTCTAATTTCGGATGTGGTGTTGGCGCGCATAATTTCGGACGTCAACCGTCGGTAGTACTTCCGACGTTTTCCATTCGTCTCATCGGCACTTTTACGCCTCTGTTACGTTCACTCGGATTCCTAGCAGACATCGCCACGTACACTTTGAGACGAAAATCTTTGCAGTGACACAAATAGCACTTCTCCGCGACTTATCCTTAGCGCATGCCATGGTTGACAGTTGCCTTCGGTAATCCTGCCCCTTTATGTCCCATAAGGGTTTACCGACCAGGTTTAGTGGCTGTCATTACCTTCTTATACATGGGTGAATATGTTTACCTACCCAGCCTCCCCTGTAGTCCATCAGTCGCTCTCCTAGCCGTGCTTTGTTGGTTCGCTTACCCTTCTTAGAGCCACTCGTCCAGTCCGCAGACAGCATCTGTTCGATGCCATCGTTAGCCCACAACCGGTTCCCATCCTCTAACGGAGTCCTGCGGTTTAACTTTACTGCGTATCAAACCTTCTTCTAATCCGGATGCTAACCAGTATCGCGAGGCAGAACACTGCATTAGCAACATGTAACATTTACTCAAAAAATTGGAAAAGGGAACAACACACTGGAGATATAGCGTAGCACAGAAAATCGTCCCTGGCTGCCTTCCGGCAGTGGCTTGCTACATTACCCCAGTCAACAGTTCGGTGTGCTAGAAAAGGGTCAGCAATTACATGCTTATCATACACTGCATTACCTCAAATCGCCCTCAGTATCCTTTTCCGGTTGCGGTTATCTCCATGGCATGGAGGTAATGCTCACATTCACTGTGGGTAGGTCTGGAAAGTAAACGGAGGAAGCACAGAGACTTACCTTCACGTCTTCCGACTGCGCCTCCGTTGGTTGGCTTATCCACATTACGTTGGTTGGCTCTCCGTTAATGGATAGGCTTCTGACCAATGTCGCTGGAAAGTTTCCCAGGAAGCTGCCATATTATCGGTCCGTAGGTCGAACCAGAGGCGGTACTGAACCTCATCGAGATGGGCCCACACTGATCTGCCACAGACAGGACCAGACTCCTGTAGCTTCCTCTTTAATCTGCTCCAGTAGGCCTCCACGGCGTTCGTATGCCGACCAGTTGTGGGGTTCACGAACCCCCTACTGTGGTTGACAGTGTAGTGTGCGTCATCTTCCGACGGTAGGCGGACATAACCCTTCAACTCATCGGTTACGATAACACTACCCGCAGCCACCCACTTCACTATGACGGGTCGTAGGGCTAGCCAACTGCGGTTGTTCACCTGCTCAAACAGGGCTTTCCGCCTGCTTGTATCATACATGCCGACGACCCATAACTGACGCCGCGGTCGTCCCCTGTGGTATTTGCGGTGACTTATTAGGGTCTCGTCTATCTGTACTTCCACGCCCGGTCCCCCAATTTGGGTTACAGCGGTTAGAAGTGCGTGTGAGCACGCCCCGCGGCAAATGCTGTACCATTCCATGGCAGTATTTCTACTGACGCCTACACTTACAGCACACCGCTTGGCCCGCACACCTTCGACGAATTTACAGCAGATACGTAGCAGTGTCTGCAGACTGAGTTTGCTACGGACGAACATTGACCCCGTGCGCAGACACCGCTTTCGTCGACAGTGTCCACAGCGGAAGGCATACCCATCGGTATGCTGCCGTAGCACTTGCATCTGTACAGTACGCCGACATCGGCATGTCAATGTAATGGCCAGCAACCTCCACCGCTGCAGGTACTGAACGAGCCCGGCTGACTGAAGGACTGCTTGAATTTCATCTTCGGCTGTCTGCATAACCGGCTGAGGACCGCGCCTACGTCCGCCCGAGGTCGGTGACGATCTAGGCATAAAACAGTAGGAGTTTATACTACTGCTGGCGTCAACTTATGCATATCCCTCCGCCCTATTTTCCTTTACGTTTGCCCAGAGTAATTCATGGTTTACCTAACAATGAGGTTTCGGGTGAATTAGGAGTAGCTTACAAATAGTAGACCTTCATGCCATAACCTGACTTTCCCTGCATTTGCGCATACTGTTTGTATCCGTCAGGCAATGCATTCTTGGTTGGGAAACATGGGGCACTTAACCTACATAGGATTTATGTATACCAATCAGTGGCCTTTCCGTTACATTGTCCTCCTCCTCCGCTGTCTACCGACAAGCTACCCTGCAGGGATTTACCTAACTGCAGATTACGCCTCTCCTCATCAAGCCTCCTCGTTCCCAGCGTACCAACAATGGGTACACAGAGCCCCCTCCTCTAACGGCCTGCTCTGAGCTCCGCTTCCGTTGGTTCGTACGTCAGACGAATCTAAATCCCTTTCCCTTTTCTTAAATGGAGTCCCCGACAGCCGCATGTACTTAAAGATCTCCATAGGTTGGGTTTGACGCAGTCCAGGGGCAGTAAGATTTTTGATCGGTTCTGCACTTTTAAGCTGATGATCGCATTAACATATTCCTACAAAAGGGATTTGATGCAGACACGTAACAGCATGATTTTCGACCGGTGGTGCACTTACTCACTGCCAACGGACGGTGATCGGGGCATCTGACAGGGCGCAGTTCTCCGGAGGCTTCCGCCCGCACTACCTAATAACCTAAATGTACAGTTAAAAAGGGTTACTTAGGTATGCAAACTGCTCCCACCATGACCACGTACAAATCCAGCAAACCAGTGTACTAACACCCGGCAGCCGACCGCTTCCGGAGTTTGCCGACCTGCGGTAGGTTGGTGCGGCGGTGTTGGAGAACGTCCACGTATCCTAAACATTTCGCACCTTATGTGTTTTAAACGGTGTATGCGCTAGAGGCCGTAGGTTAACAACTTCAAAATCTAGCGAATCAGCAAACTTACACACGGCGGCCAACCACATCGGGAGTTCGCCGATCGGCCGTAGGTTGGTGTGGCGGCGTAGGAGAATGTCCAGGTATCCTTAACATTTTCCGGCGTTATGCTTAATAAACGGTGCATGTGCCAGCGGTCGCCGGTATAACAACTTAAAAATCTACCTATACAGCGAACTTACACACGGCAGCCACCCTCTTCGGGAGTTTGTCGACCTGCTGTACGTTGGTGCGCCGGTGATGGAGAACGTCCCGGTATCCTAAACATTTTTCGCGTTATGTGCCTTAAACGGTGCATGCGCTGGAGGTCGTCGAGTAACAACATGAAAATCTAGCTAAACAGCGAACTTACACATGGCTGTCAGCCGTTTGGGGAGTTTGCCCATCGGCTGTAGGTTGGTGCGGCGGCGTAGGAGAACGTCCAGGTATCCTAAACATTTTTGTGTTATGCGTATTAAACGGCGTGTGCGCTGGAGGTCGACCGCTAACAACTTAAAAATATACCGAAACCGCAAACTTACACCCCGTTCACCAACCAGTTCGCGGATCGCCTGCAGGTTGGTGTGGCGGCGTAGGAGTACGTCCAGGCAACCTTTACATTTTCGGCGTCATACATATTAAACGGTGCATGCGGTGGCGTTCACCGACATAATACAGATGGAGGGGGTTAGTAAGGGGCGGCGAGTTGTGGTATTTGTCATAAGTCGTAAATTCAAACACTCTTACCCAACCACAGCACTCTGATGTCCTTTCCCGTCTCCCTTGCGCGTCTTGTGTTCCTCACCCATCTGCTGCAGACTAAATCAAGGGTGGCGCCCACTACCCCATTGGTTAACCGCTTGGCTGTTCAGATTGACTCATCCTGGCCGCCAATCACACCACGTTCCCGCCTACCCCTCAGGCCATTGGGGTACTGCTTCTTTGCACGCCATCCTACCGTATTTTTCACTTCATTAAAACAAATAATTATTTCGCTGCGACTTCCAACATTTTTACAACATTCAGCCGCCAATCCAGTGCCCCTTGCAGGTTTCCCCGCCCGTTCTTCCCCTCAAAACCGCCTTCCCGTTGTACCCGACCCACCTAGAGATGTTTTCTCGGTGTGGCCGCGAATTTGGCCTCTGCCTTTTGTAGAAAACATACGCAAAAACACT